TTGTACTGTAGAAAGCGTATGGTGTCTGGTCACATGTTTTCTAATCTGATTCAACTGAATGGGTTGAAAATCTGACACAATCGTACAGCAGATGAAATAGCTACAGTATGTGATTTCCAGGTGTTGTTATGGAATTAAGCTCTCTTGTTAATTCCTTTGAATTTGCTGGTTCGCTAACACCCATGGCAGTGAATAATGGTCACTTTAGTGAAAAAGTATCGAGTGATGTGCTTGAGACCTACTGATGAGATGGAGATTTTTATGAAGAGAGAGAAAACGTGAAGCTAGAAATGGGCATGAGAACTTCTGATCTGTCACCAACTGTGATTACAAACAAGACACTTCTCTATGTATGTATTCCTATACTGTCCCTAGTGTGACAAATACTGTCTTAATGAGAAGATAGTCCTTCTTTAGAAACATCGTCTTAGGGCTGTTTGTTTTTTTCTTCTGTAAAATGACCTACAAAATGACACATCTGGGCAAAGTAATCTGAATTCCTTTAAAAGCACTATAGCTGTAAAGTTTTTCCTTTTCTCCTCTCCTTGAGGAAGCGTGTGGCACGGAGCAGAAAGAAGAGAGCGAGTCAAAGCGCTCAACAGACTCCCCTAGTTTTTCCACAGTGTTTGCTGTCAATCATGGTTTCCTGTTCATTCTCTCCAAACAGTGAGCATGTCATAGGAAACGTGGATTGACAGCACGGAGAACAGAAGTTATTTGCCATTCTCTTAGTAAGTCCTTTCCTTAAACGCGTTGCCACGGGGCGATGTCCCAGAAGCCCGGTCTTGTTCTTTGCGGTTCGTCTCCCTTCAGCCCGGCGTTGCACAGCTGTAGGCTTTTTTGGCTGGATACTGCTAGGCTCTATCTGAAGTTTTCTGTAAACACCATTGCTGGCTTTGTGACAGACTTGAACAGAGGTGCCCTTTTATTGCTCCTTCTCTTCAGGAAGTCCAGGCAATTAGTCCAAGGCAAAACCATAGATTGTGTTTTTAGTTTTTTTTTCATCCTTAAAACATTGCCAAAGACTGACTCTCTGACCTAAGTCATTTCAGCTGAAATGAGTGTTCTCAAATCTAGGAACAGTTTGCAGAGACAAAATGCTAGGATTTTGGAAGTTGTGAATTTAGATGTGAGCTGCCAGAGTATTCCTGTATACGGTTTTGTCATGGTTTTTGTCACTTGTGTGGCTAGAATTTTCTGATCCTTAACCTGTGACCAATCTGTATTTGTGAAGAACTACTTTCTTGGCTGGTTTTTCTAATGTTAAAGATCATCTAATGGCATGTCTGTTTTGACACATACCTTGCTGTCTTTGAATATTGCTTGCTGTGATGTCCTGGTACCAGAAAACTGAAGTATGTCATGATACGCTGTGCTTTCTGTCTCAATTCCACTGAAGTGTGGCATCAAAACAGTCACCTGATATGACACACTGGAGTGCTGTTGTGTTTAGAAAGGTTTCAGAATCACAAATGATACCATTCTCAGATGTATATAATACCAGACCCCTTATAATCAATTATTTTCTTGTTTCTCAGGTTTCTAATGCTGTAGAATTTAAAATCAGAGGAGGGGCAGGATCCCACTAGTGTCTGATCTTGGCAAACAGCGTTTGATGTTTTGTCACCTCTGTAGAGATGTGTGTTTTAGACCCCAGAGCAGCAAGCAGGGATGTCATTGTTCAGAATACAAAACCCAGAATACAAACTTCAGTAGTTGAGTTCTTGGGAGCAAAAGCAGCTGTCTGAAGGACAAAGAAAACCCGAGTTGCCTTGTGTATGCCTATAGCATGTATATGTCTGCAGAGGGGCTAAGAACATACAGATATTCAGTGGCAAAGTAAACTTCACAATATTATTTAGGTAACCTTCCCCCCCCCC